TTGTATATCGAATCAGCTGTAAAGCAGCATGATGGGTATCCAATCTGACTCAACTACTTACCAAAGATGCGAATCATGTTTGCCAACTCTTTCTTCAGCTTACTCAGCTCTTCCTTGATACCGCTGACGACTTCATCAAGGATAAACGGCTGATCACTGTCTGTACTCTTCACTTGAACATCTGACGGCAAAAAATTCAGAATTATTTTAATACCAACTTGAAAGAAACATTAAATTGTTTGAATACCACTTTATTCTAGTGTTTGTCATCTTATGATTGTTTAGAGATGATTTTTTACCCTCCAGTGTTTTTTTCTTGTGTGTGTATTGAAATAAAAAGGAAAAAAAAATCTTCCAGTGAAATCCTGGATACATGTGTGTTTTTTGTTTTGTATTTTCATCAAGATATCTAGATTGTATAACTATTCCCATATATATAAAGAATACTTCTTACCATTGAATTGAAGCAGCACTCGATCCAGGGTGTCAACATGGCTATCTACTTGTGATTTTAGCTCTGTAACATCAGAAGCAGCCGGCAGATCTTCGGGTAGAAAACGTCTGATTTCCTGTAGAAGGGACATCAAATGTCTCTTTACAATGACGCCGCTATCCCACCTTAATCTTACTAGTTCATCTTTGGTAATACGAGACACTATTGACAAAATGACCAGTAACGCTTCAGATGAGAGTTTGTTGCCAGGCTTCAGTTTATGTAATGCATCAGTCATCATGGCTGTCACTTCACTCAAATCGTAGGAGCCCAGAGCACGTCCTTCCTCAACTGAATCTACCATGGCTTCAAGATGTGACTGTAATCGTGAAGTAATATCAGAAGACTGTGGGAGTAGAGATGACATCGCAAGAACAATAGATACGGCGTCAGTTAGTACTTCACGAACGCCATGGTCAGGAGCTCTTTCAGACACTAATTTCATCAGCTCGGCCAAACAAGAGAGCACATTGTTCTGCAAATCACTGTTAAGATCAGTCCAACTAATCTTCTTCAAAATAGCTCCACTGATGCAAAGTATACCACGAAAAACGGCATTACTGATCTCGGGATGTTTAGATAAATGCTGAATTACATGATTCATCATACTTTCCAGATCTGACGTCAGCCTGTTTTTAATACCATCATCAATGTTCTCCCATGATAGTTTCTCCAGTACTTTAGTATTTTCCTGTATCACTTGAATCAAAGCATCAGTGCTCAGGTCAGGATGTTTAACAAGTTGCTCAGCAACCCAAGTCGTCATAGTTTCTATACCTGAGGTCAGCTTCATTTTACTTCCATAATCAAAGATATACCATGGTAGTTTCTCCAGTACTTTAGTGTTTTCCTGCATTACTTGAATCAAAGCATCAGTGCTCAGGTCAGGATGCTTAACAAGTTGCTCAGCAACCCAAGTCATCATAGTTACTATACCTGAGAACAGCTTCATTGTACTTCCTTCATCTTGGTGATACCATCGTAGATTCTCCAGTAATTTAGTGTTTTCCTGCATCACTTGAATCAATTCATCAGTGCTCAGGTCAGGATGGTTAATAAGTCGCTCCCTAACCAAAGTCATCATAGTTACTATACTTGACATTTTGGTACTACCATAAAGGCGATGCCATGGTGCTCTTACTAATACCTTTGCAACTTCCTGCATCACTTTAATCAATACATCAACATTTAGCTCAGTATTGCTGACTATTTCAATTAGATCAGTTGTCAGCTGCTGAAATACTTCTAACAATTCTTCTGGTTTGGTTTTCCACAAAGGATCTAATTGATTGCTGAGAAACTCTTGATCTGCAAGCAGTTTTGATGTTGCTTCGTCAAACTTGTTCTTCAAACTCACATTTTCCTTGTTCACTTCTTCTCGTTCATGCTGGATTCTCTGTAATTCACTCTGTAACTGAACAATCCTCTCACTTACTAAGGGTTGTTTCTCGTTCTCAAGGATGTGTAACTCGCGTGCTAGCTCGGCAACTTTCTTTTCTGCTTTTCTTCTCTTGTTTGATTCTATCCTTGATTCGTTGTAGATTTCTCTAACGTTAATCCAATCGCTCCAGGCCARMYCGGTCATKGTRRYTCTGGGTAAATCCATGTCACATGACGAGTGCCTATGTTCTCTGCCTACAGAGGAACTCTCTTCAATCTGCTTGAATCGATCTTTGAAACACAAACAAAATACCTAAATACCATTAATATATTCATTTATTCACATTAATATATATTTACACGGGCTTCCTGTGGAAGACCATGTCTAAAATTACCGACGACTTTCCTTCAACATGCTTCAAAGTGGTATATCCGGGACCTTTTCTATTGTGTTATTGTCMTTCATGTTTCTAAGCAACGATTCTAAGCTTGCCTCGTGCTTCATTTCGGACCCTCGCATACCAAGTTTAAAAGGATCGTTTAAAGATGGAAATCACGGATCTAGCTACTACAAATACGCTCAAATCTCTTACAAATCMACGTGTCATTCGCGGTATAGAAACACTAAATGATGTCGATTGTTTTTCGAAAGGGCATTTGTAGGGATACCGTGAATTGATCGTGAATCTTCCTATCGTGAATAAGCGAATTAATTTTAAGTTATATACGGCTCTGCAATCACAAAAGACTATCTAAGGAATGCAAACAGTGTTATACTGAGGAAGATGAAATGATTGGAAGTATTTTAAGCGAAGAACATGAAAGACTATCGACCTGTGTTTACGCGGAATGGCTCGTCACTTCTTTCACAATATTATGCTTAATGCTATAAAGTACATTGCTTGTTTTATTATTTTTCATTAAAAGAAATATTTTTGCTTTAGTCTTAGTAACATTAACTTTATTAGGGCTCATTATAATACAATTCTTCGATTACCACAATAAAACTATTATCACTGACTTCTTCGTTTGCTGATCATGTGATACCACAGGAAGCCCATGTAAACGATCGCTGATCGTCTAGTTTTATTTTTGATTGTAATTCTAACTACTAAATTCCGAGTGATTCAGTTATTTCTGAAACAGTCTATTGGATAGGAGCCATATATTATTAGAAAAAAGGCTATATAAATATCATTTTACCTGCCATTTGTAGGAGAACGGCGTCCCAGCATGCATCCCTGTATTCATCCTCGTCAATGGTGACTTCCACGTCAATATCCTCTTCATTAAAAACTTCTCTGACTTCTTTGATGCCATTCAGAGCTTTTCTGATGTTTTCTTGAAGTGATCCATCCTTATAGCTTGACCACAGTTCTCTTAGGGCTGACAAACTGGATGACTTCACGATAAAACTAATAGAACCTTCTCTCACTCCAAGAAGTTTTATCGCCAGTGGTAAAACCTTTTGTATGGATTCTAATGCGTCTGGAGTGTTGTGCAATACAGTAAGAAGTACACCCGAAACAGCGGTTACTTTGACAAATGTGGAACTAGATATAATAGTTTTCAAACCGACAGCTGAAATATAAAAATGAAAAATATGATTCCCGCAACTATGTGTAATGTTAAAAGATTATATTTTGTGCGATCGATGGTCTCAGCAATGCATGCGTGATAATACATCGATCGATAAAAAGGGCATTGAGTCTTGATTCCTTTGTGTGTGACTACTGAGGAAAAATTCTCAAGTTGGCTATTCAAGTGGGAATCTGACAAAGAAGTGGAAGTCACTACGCTTCATTGATTTTAGAGAAAACTATTCTGGTTCCACCCCAGCTTAGTTACATGCATTTACAATATAAAAAATAAATAAATACAAGTTTTACGCAAGATACTGGGAGTGGTAGCCTAGTCTCTCTACCCAGTGGCTACTGTTATGTATCGGAATCTCTCACACTCACGACCACTATATTAGTCGATTTAAATGGGAAGCCATAGCGCGGAAACCAATACAATATACCAAAGAAATGGTCAGTACATTCCAGCTTCGTGAGTAAGGAGTATTTCCAGGGGTTCTGGCAGCCACACTTCCTTGACAAGCGAAGTCAAATCAGTAGGTAAATACATTTTTGGAAATATAACGCAAATAGTTTGTTCCGTGAGAATCTAATACAATCCTTCTTGACAGTCTTGATAACGCTAAGCATGAAACACCTGCACAAGCACCTGCATTTTACTCTGCTTAACCTCTTATGCACATTACCTGCAGTCCGGTATGCTATTCCTGTCAAATAAAACCAAAATAAAGAAAATAAAACYTTTAAAGCAGGCGGTAGTGCTGCTAGTTACTTGAGGAACAATGTTATGCATTTTCTTTACTAAAGAAAAGTGATTGGCACTATTGTCACTCTCTGCCGAAAGTGGTCGTAAGGCTGGATTATGGAATACCCAGTCAGTTATACCCGTCCACTTTATGGATATCATTCAAATCTAATAAATTCTACGTCCTTTTCAAAAGAGCCGATATGCTACTTTGTTTTGTACCAGAATGCATGTGTAGGGGTGTTATTCGAAAAAAATGCGCCGTTACCAACAATTCTTTATACAAGTTCAGTCCAAATAAACATGTACATCAGAGTTGACCCTAAAGCCCCGTCTACACGAGCAAATTTTATGTGACAACTATATGTGGCAATTTATATTTGTCTGTGTGGACAGGCAGCAAATAATTGTTGAAGATTCGCGACAAGTGTGATTTTTCACAGCGGAGATGCCAATAAACAAAACAAATTTGGTTGGTTTTAGCTCTTACAACAACAATAATAAGATTCTCTCTGTCCATCCGGTCGATCCGGTCGTTCTGCCTTACTATCGGCGTCGCCATCTTGGCTGGTGTGCAAAATGTTGAGACTGGGATTCAGTGTAACGTCAAAATAATTGCCACATTTTATGTGACGCTCGTCCACACGGGCAATTTCGATATGTGACAATTTTTAGTTGTCTTGAGTTGTCACATGAAAACTAGCATGCCAGCTTTCCAGCAACTACAGTTGTCACATAAAAATTTTCGAATTTTGCTCATCTACATAGGCTCAGTCTCCAGCCGTCGGGATTTCGTGCGCCCGCGATACTCTCTCCCCTGACGGCTGGGCGCATGGGGTTCAAAACGTGTCGCGCATGTCCGTGACGTTTTTGTGTAATTAGCATATTATGACGTAACGGAAGTGAATTTTTCAGTGAACGGAAGTGAAATATCTGACAACAGCCTTAAAGGTTTTTGCTACAACGCGGGAAATTATGTGAAATGAAAACTTCGCGAAGTGGCGATATAATGTAATAGTTAGCGCTTTAAAAAAGAGAAAGGAATGGAAATTACCCCAAGTAAAACATGTGCAGGGTTTAATAATCCAAATGGATGTATTATCTGCTAGAAAAACGAGCAAAATACACTAGTGGCGCTGTTTGAAAAATAAGAGATTTGCCCGAGCCAGTATAGGAAGAATAACAAGGACATCTTTTCCAAGAACAATCTCTTTAAGAGCCTTTTGCTGTATTTCTCTAAATTCGTCCAAGCTAAACGACTTCAGAGCCTTCAAACAAGCACTTTCAAAGAGAATCTCAAACGACGAATTGTACGCAATTTTGTTACACTGCTGCCTGCTAATTTATTAATGATATGCCCCTCAAAATATCAGGGGCCACTCGCTGATTGGTCAAGACTGAAATAGCGAACCTCATGCGCCCAGCCGTCAGGGGAGAGAGTATCGCGGGCGCACGAAATCCCGACGGCTGGAGACTGAGCCTATCATCTACACGGCAATTAAAAATTGTCACATAAAAATTGCTCGTGTAGACGGGGCTTAAATAAACAGCTGTTTCTAAGTTTGCTCAGTAAAACAGCAAACAAAAGACACGTGGATGCAAAATAGAAGGACCGGAAATTTCTTCAAATGTCGAGTTTGGTACGAATGAAAGATTCTGTGAATTATGAAATCTAAAAGAAAAAGTAAGCTCTTTTCTATGGTCTATACTAACGTGGAAAATGTATGCGTAGCTAAGATACAACTTCAATAAAGTGAGTACATTCAGCACAAAAAAAACCGTCGTTTCAGGGTTGACGATATGACATACGCTAAGATACAACACACGCAAGATATCTTTTACCCTGGTCCCAGAGGTTTGGTACTTTCTCTCTTCGCTATCTTCGCTATTGTTTTTGTCGCTTTGCGCTGACAAAAACAATAGCGAAGAGAGAAAATATGAAACCTCTGGGACCAGGGTAGATATCTTTACCATCATAACTCTGCATTGGGAGGAAAAGGGCTAACTGATACACGGGGCTAGCTTACATACCAGTAAGATACCATACTGAATCGGTATTAAATGAATTATATTCAATGAATTCTTACCTGGTAGTTTCTTTAAAACTGAAAAGTGCAAGAATTCAATGATTAATTTTATAGCAACAAGATTTCTCAGGGACCGCGGAGCGTGAATTTGTGGGGGATGAGGAGGGTACTAGGGGGTTTGAAATCTTAACTCTCGGAAATGTCACTTTCAGCGTTTTGAGGCGTTATTAAAGACATTTTTACCGCTTACACGGTCAGCGATATTATCAATAAATCCCAAAGACTTCGCAAAAAAGCTCCAACTTTAATAGTCCACTTCGCGGATAATTCGAAATTTTACATTACGTCGTTATGGTAARTCATTGACATCACTGGAAAGAGTGTCACAAAATCAGMAAATTTGCCAAGTTTGAAAATAATCTGATTTAAAATCAAAGAGATACGGCACTTCAAAAACAGTAAATTTTGCATAGAAATGTTTGGCAAGGTTGTAACAAGTCAAGGTCAACCTMGATCTCATGCCGACAGCCATACATTTCTTTGTAAATTTTGCCGACTTTTAGACGCTGTATCTCCTTGAATTTTCATTGAATCATGCTCAAACCTGGTAAACATACTAATTTCATACTGTTCTTTCCAGTGGTGTTAATAGTTTTTCGATATTTGCTCAATTTCTAATAGCTGTGTTATCCGCGAAGTGGACTATTGCCGTATTTACTCGAATAGACGCCGCGGCGTTTATTTCATTTTTCACGGTCCAGGTGCAGCGTTTATTCGAGGGCGGCGTCTATTCGAGGGCGGCGTTTATTTAAAAACACTTTGCTCAGTACTATATACCGTACTTTATATTGTATATTTTTACTAACAAACGGTAACGATTCTCAATATATAAATGTCGTGCTCATTTTGTCGATTCAATTTGTGATGTTCTCCTCGTGGTCGGAATCTAACAGTAGCTGCTGAGAGCAAAAAAAGTAGTCACTTCGAAATAAAAAAAAAAAATGCTGGTATCAGTATTTTCGCACCCAGATGCGGCGTCTATTCGGGGGCGGCGTCTATTCGGGGGAGGCGTCTATTCGAGTAAATACGGTATTCACGCTCAGTTTTTACACAATTTTTAAAGAATATATATGGTGACTCCCCCAAACCCCCCCCCCCCCCCCCCCCCCCCCCCCCCCCTGSTCCGCGGTCCATGTTTCTATTTTGATYCTTGGATATGATTTCAATGCTCTCGGTCATTTAACAGCAAAAATATGGCAGTAAAACAGCGGACGCGTACAGGAATCCTCATTCAGAGTGTGTATGTCGAGAAAATGTCGTTCTTACCTTTAAACACTTTCTTATAACCTGTAAATAACAAATGTACAATAAAAGGTTTTATATTATACTACAATGTATGTTTAAATTGCACAGTGAAACTGATTTACGAAAACAAAAGAAATAATGCAAGCCAATACTTGCATTTCCAAGCACAATCAAACATTTGGAACAGTGCAAATCAATAAAACATTTTTTTCAGTTCTACTAACTTCCCTGAACAATCAAAATGGCATGAGGTATAGTTTATTATGTACTAATTTCCAATTTCGAAATCTCCAATGCTCTGTGTTAGCCTCATTTTTGCGCAAAATATTCCTCATTGATTTGTGAGCGTAAAAGTGTGAGATTTCAAATCAAATTTATTGTCTTTCTTCACAAAATTCCAATATGCGTTTTCTCGAGCTATCAATGAAACAAAAGAATATGTTACTTGGTTTTTAATAATAATAACAATCTTTTATTAGGAAAAACTATCACATAAGTGTGGTTTTCATAGAATTCCTGAGGCTAACACAGAGCAAACCAGTATTGATGATTTTCATTGGGCTGCCTGTGGTGTCTAGTCATTTGCTATGCATGGATAACCATGTTCGATATGCAGTAAACCGTAATTGAAATATTCTCGACTACCTTAAAGTTAAATTTAAATAGATGAACCTTCATTTGTATTGTGAATGTCTAACTCAAATAAAATCTGAATACTGTTAGGAGTTTGTCAGTGTGGGTTTGAAGAAAAAACATAAAACTATTGTSAAATATAATTAAGTATGCATTTGCCATTTCAAGATTACCTGCACAATGATTAAASTCATACTCATCAATGATATCTTGTAGATCCTTCAGTTCTAACAGACGCGCTAAGTCTCTTAAAATTAGTACATTATCTATATGGATCACGTTACTGTCCTCCAGGGTCTGTAACAAATCCTCTACAGTTGTAACTTTCTTTCTTTTTCGTTCTGGTACAAGTTTGCAGAAACGGCTTTTGAGACCGTTCAAATCGTCATTTCCACCATCTAAGTAGCTTTTCATGCATTTTATGGCCCTAACTTTGAGATCATTATACTCCAATTGCTTTAGCATCGAGTTATAATCGTCCGCCATCGATTCGATAGCCCTGAGAATAAAGCGGAAGTAGACGCTAAGCGTCTTAAAAGTGATACATCATCTATATGGATGAAGTTACTGTCTTCCAGGGTCTGTACCAACTCCTCTACAGTTGTAACTTTCTTTCTCTTTAGATTTGGTACAAGTTTGTCGAACAGTTTTTTCACTCGGTTCAGATCGCCATGTCCACTATCTAAGTAAACTTCCAAGTGTTCAATGGCTTTAACTTTGAGATAATTATACTCCAATCGCTTTAACTTTGAGTTAAAATCGTCTGCCATCAATTCGCCATCGAGTATACATGCAGCTATGAGCATAGCGGAAGTAGACGTGACCTCGTCTCGTGCCCAGGGCAGGCCGACATCTACCTTGCTTTCAGCACGAGAATTTTTACCTCACTTCAGTTTCTAAAAGTTAAAGTGGAAACACTAAAACCTTGATTATTGGTAATTTGAATTCTTTTGTGCCTAGTGCTTTTTGTAGGAAAAGTGTCTGCATACTATATTTTGTTTTTGTTTTGCTTCTTGGTTGTCATTTTGTCCGACGAATGGATAAGAAGGTGGATAAGAAGAACAAGAAAAGCTATAAAAACACGGGCTTCTTCTCTGAATGAGGTTCCTCTTTCCCAAGTATAGTCCAGGGGCTCATTCAAACACAACGTAGTAATAACACTTTATTGAGTATGTTAAACCTACTTGCATTACATTAGACTATTCAGGTTTATGGACATACATCGGAGAGACTCTTCGCATAATTTCACAGTTTCCACAGGTTTAAAATTCCCTGCTACTGTCCTCGCTGATGATGCTGCGAAAAATAAGGAATCGTTCAAGGTCTGCATATTATTTTAAAAACAAAAAAGCTACAATATGTAGACCTCCTTCCTAGTGACATCCTTTCTTTTATTCAAAAAAAAAAAAAAAAAAAAACATCTTAGGGAGCCTCTGCCAGTTCGAAACTTTCAAAAAGAAAGTTCCAGGTCATTTAGTTGGATAATTTTGAGTCTCCTGACTATATGTCTACCACTGTAGTGCGACAATACAATTAATGCAAGAGATTTTACAGCCTCAACTCTAAAATGATCTACTAGTATTTGTGCTATAATATTATAGTATAGGATATTAGAGTGCTCGCACTTAAAGCGTGAAACAAATAGTACTAATTACTACTAAATAGTGTTGATCATACAATAGGAAACACTAGGAGTTGTAGTATTTATATTTCACGCATTTAGTGCGAGCACTCTAGCTTGCGAAATAAACCCGTGAAATTAAATCTAGTGCCATTAAAGTGTACACTAGGATTAATCGATACATCATAGGTATATCAACATCTATTTCACAGGTTTAGCGCCTTYATTCTATAATACAAATACAATAATCCCGTTTCTAGAGTGAACGCATTTTTAAAAGCCGTTAAATTGTACAAAATCAAAATACCATAAATTTGCGCTTAATCTATAACTGAAGCGGGATATCCTCGAATTGTCATTGTTCTTGATGAACGCCAATTATACTAAATTGATCAAAACAGTACAATGAGGACCAATGAGATGGGTTAAATTTCACGGATTAAGTGCGTTCAATCTACAAAAGCTAGTATCTAATTAATCTTTATTGTCGGATTTCAAACCGAGTGGGGACTGGGTAAAATCCCCTAATTGGATAATCACGAGATTTCACGAGATAAGACTTACATATAAAGAAAGCCCTTGTTGAGAAATGCAAAATTCCAAAATCTGGCGTCAATCGGTTCAAACAGTGAACGAGTTACGAGCTTTCAAAAATTCTAAAATTTGCAAAGAAATGTATGGGAAGCCGCAAATGTGTCCGAATTTAATTGACCATTTTCCGGACACATTCATGGCTTTCCATACATTTCTTTGGAAATTTTAGAATATTTGAAAGGCTGTAACTCGCTCACTATTGGACTGATTTACATCAAATTTTGGAATTTTGCATTTGTCAACAAGGGCTTTCTTTCTATTTAAGTCTTATGTCATGATTACCCAATTAGGGGATTTTGCCCAGTCCCCCACGGTTTGAAATCCGGCAATGTTTGTAATAGCAAAGTGCATCATGGTRTTGAGAAAGCAGTACTCACCAATGAAGTCTTTTCGGATGTCTTAGAAAACTATGAAGGACGGATTTTGTAGTCATGTTTTACCGGCATCCCATAACAACTTTTGTTCATGTTTYAAAATAAGAATTCACTGTAATATCAGCACTGAACTTAATCTTTATTATYCATTTATTCCCTATGGAGATATTGTGAGATTCGATCATCCGATGCTGGGTTGAAAGGGATTGTGGTAGATATTTAAATTCAGCTCACTTTCCAAATATGAAGAATCTAAAACACGACCACACATATATATATGTCGGTTAACGATGACCACCCTTTACGGCATTCATTGTCAAGGAATAGCTGCACACTACAGTGTATATTCAACGATCAGTCTTAGAAAGAAATAATGCTGTTGACGTACAAAAACGTTCGTCATTCCCATAATCAATTTTAATTTTCACCAATGATAAACTGAGGGGAAACTACTAGACATGCTTTACTTTACACTACAAATATCATAATATGTATTAAAATTTATCTCAACCACATTTATGGTACTAAGTTTTACTTATAAGATTTAGYATAAATACAATTTTATTGTGTTGTTGTAGCTCATAAAAACTAGTGTACCTTACTAACCTATAGAATATCTAAGATTACCTCTACCTATATTGAATATGAAGGTATTTGAAAAAGTACTGCATACTATGATGCTGCATAATGCATTCCTGGACAAGATAAAAATGTTTTGTTGCTACTGGTCTAGTGGTCTCCGCGTCGATTCTAAAAAAGTGCTCTTGATTTGTTTTCCACTACTGTTGGGAGCTGGACGTCACGCGGTCTAAAACATGCAGTACGTATTAATAAAACTCCCAATAGCGACGATGAGTGACCAACAAGGCATATCACAACATTCCTGAGTACTCAACGTTTTCAAGCTAAGTACCGCTGTATTGTATACATCGTGGTTCTCTTTATCTTTTTTTGAATGTGAAATATTTTAATCGTTAACACTACACGATATAGAAATATAATAAGGTGAAGATTTCTTGATGATACTACAATTGCTCCTTGATACCTCGATACAGGTATGAATTCTACTAAGCATTACTACGAAATAAGAAGCCTACTCTAAGTGTGTTTCTAACTCACATTTTTGTACATCCAAACTACAAAATATCATAAAATGAATATTGAGGTGACTGATTCATGCCTTGTCCGAGGCTTTTATAGTGCACAAAACATCATTTTTGTCTTAAGTTGTCGGCAAAACAATCTAAATATGCTCTGTGAAAATCTACCTAGTTTAGACACTAGAACGTATTCGCATAACCCACTTTTTAAATGCTAATGAGTTTGCTAATATTCTAATAAGATTGGCACAAGAAAAAAAGAGCAAAAACATGCTTGAGTGTCTTTAATAGCGAATATTATTTCAAAACTATTTTGAGCTCAGTTCAATAAATGCAAAATTTCAAAAGGAAACATTTTTATTTAAGCTATACAGCTATCTCAAGTGAGGGTGACTACTAGAGTTTCAATGGGCAACTATCACGGCACATGATAACGCCCAATATTTAAACTGGAACCTCTCCACCAATGAGAGCGGAGGGAAATTTACAATCGCAACCAACAAATACCACGGTCGCAGTAGAAAAGGTGGTGGAATGCCTTACATATTTTTAGTATTAATGAACGGTTTTAACTTCAGAAATTTGATGGGTGAAACCGACGAATCAGTCGCATGGAGAGAATGAGAGTATCCATATATAATTCAACAACAAATTTTCCTCTCTCCTCTCATTGGATGAGGGTTTTCTAACAGTGCCGCTTTAGAAAATAAATGAAAACGATAGAGCAGATTGCAACTTGAGAATTAATGTGTTTGTTGCCCTTGAAAACTGGATATTCCTCAAATCTTTATAGTCGTCCTCGAAMTACWCGTCTGGGGCGACAATGATTTTTTTTCGAAACATCCAGTTTCCGCCTGCAACTATCACAGCATATTGCTCTCGATTCAACTACTCTATTGTTTCAATACTGTAATTAACTTTTGATTTGACTGTTTAGGTGTCTTTTTCCGTTAAGCACTCCCACTCCTAAGAGATCCTAAGGGATCGGTTCGTCTTCATGCAGCTGAGGTACTACAGGACAACAAAAAAACGTTAGGAAACGTGGATAGGCAAAGTTAGTTTACTATGCATACAGAAGAGAACCAGAACCTCGGGCTAAAATCTGTTGTGGTTACAGATGCGCATTCTAATAAGGTAACCCGTTTGCTTATAATTTAATTTTTTAGTATTATTCTACTAACCTGTTGTCATTTTTCCTTCGATTTTGTCTCAGAAGAGCCTGAAAAACAATTAAAAGAAGAAAAATGATCAAAGCCAAGTGTAAWTCAGAGTCAATGCTGGTCTAATCCTCTAACCTGAGGTCTCAGACATCCATGTCATAGGGTCATGCTGAAGAACAAGAAAATAAACATAGTAATGTTATAAGTAGTTGAGATCTGTTCCTCAGGCAGTTTTTTATTGTGTGAATTTTCCTACTTACCTGAAGTCATTTTTTTCTTCAACAACATTGTTGTCTCAGAAGGTTCTGAAGTACAGAAATAAGTAAACAAAAATTATTATTTACATCCGCGGTAAATAAATTACAACAAATTTATGCTTCATATCAATTTTCAAAGTACTGTATTGCCAAAGCTTGCATTGATTCATCCCGGCAATATGACAATCTATAAAGTGTCAAAATGTTGATTGTGTCTGCCTGAGACTCGTGTTTAGTTTCCTCAACTGATTGGCTGTCTTACAACGTCTCCAGTCTTTCAGTCTAACTTTGATTGCTCATACTAACCAGAAGTCACTTCTTCCTTCGAAATTGTTGATGTCTTAGAAGGAGTTACTAAAAGCAAAGCAAATGATAGGCTGAACCAAGTGAGAGTTTATTATAACAATAACTGATCATGAAATAGTATATATTACAAAAACTATCGAACTCAGAACTAGGACCAGTCGGCACAGAACAAAAAAAATATAATGATTTCAATTTTTTAGTCCCTTTCTCAACGATGTGAGACTCTGTTCGCTATAAGACTAGAATAGGTGATAAAATTACGATAGAAAGGAAAAGATCCTCGAAATTAATAAAGCCAGCGATGAATTTTTACCTTGCAGTAACATTTGAAGTAAAAACAGTTAGTCACTGACGAGGATATACTTAACAAATAGATTTCATTTTTCCGTGCGTGTGTACTCTAATAGNAAATAAAATCTCACTAAACAGCGGGAGTTTTAGCTTCAATTCCCATACGCTCCCCATCTGTGCGTCTCATCCGTTCTGTCATTCTTAATTCTGAATGTTACGTGTTAAGAAATAAATGCGTTTAGTAGCGTCAAGGACTATACACCATTGAAGATGGATAGGTTTACAGCTGTACAGAGTATATTCGAAAACCCACATTTTTCATGCGTATAATCATATCGTTTACAAGAAAACCACCGAAAACGACGAGTGCATTTGGATAATTTTTATGAATTTTTACCTGTCAACATTGACTCATCATCAGACGAATCATCAGAAAGTCCAAACAGCCCCCCTGCGGTAACATATGAAGTAAAAACAGTTAGTCACGGACGTGGATATACAATAAATTAACTAGAACATGAAATTACACCACACACTCACTCGCTAAACACTGCGGTCAAACCTCTGCGCATGTACGGGCCAATTAGAAATATTCATGGTTTTTGTTCGTATTATTACGTTGAACTCAATTTCTGAGAAATTAATTGCAATGTATATACAAGCACCTAACCCTTTTCTGGGTAGAAACTTTTATGTAAGCTACATTCTTAGTTTATACCGTTTTAATTTTTCAGATAGGTACCTCGAGAACGTACTTTCTTCAGCCAAGAAGAATCATTTCATCGATACAGTTCCAAGTCAGTTGAGCAACAATATATGTAGACTTGCTTATATTTAAAAAATTGAATTAGGTAAAAGCGTTTAGGTTTTCAGTCTTCTTTAACCAGTGTATGCTCAAAGCATCCGATAAATTCCAAGCCGGATATTTTCAGTTGCCATGATTGAGGAATATATAACAGGGATAAGAAGAGTTTTTGTATACACTTAAGAAGTAGGGTCTAGCTTTACTTTGAGGCAATTTTTGCTGTTGTGAAATCATTAAAGAAAGCACTGAAATAACCAAAATCTGAAAAAAAAGAAAGAAAAAGAATTCTCTTTAAACAGTGGGATTTTTTACCTTGGAGTCTCTTACGTTCCTCTTCTTTGAGTCTCCTACTTTCTTCTGGATACTGAATATTATGTGTAAAGAAATACATATGCTTAGAAGCGTCACAGAATATACAGGGCCTGAATGGGGTTAACTGATCATGACTAGCGACAAGAGCATATTTACTGACTGACGACATTTTTCGTAAGTTTTTTTCATAAATATTTTTGTGATATTCAAAGACATTAGTTCCTTACTATACAAGTTTTTCGTATTTTTCAAGTTTTCCGCGGAAAAATAATTTTGCTTCGGATCAGTGACTTAAAGTTTTGCATTCAAACTTAGTGTTTATCAACATTTTTTAAATAACCGACTACCGACAAATGCCTAGAATTTTAACTAAATACCTGACAGTAACAGTAACTGACAACCGACATTGATATATACCATTGAGGTTGGATGCGTTTACCAGAGTATTTTAGAAAAAGCGTCTAGGACTCAGTATTGTTTACAAGAAACGACTGAATAAGAGGTGCACATATCAAAAAAGTCCGTGATCACTCAAGCGTAACCTGACAGTCCGTATGAAGTGTCATATTCGACGAAAAGAGACCAGACTTCTTGAAGAAATCAGTGTAATGATATTAAAAACAATCCGAAAAACCTACCATCGAATTTAAGAAATAAAATATATATGTGACCTTTCTGTGTATTCTTCGTAAGAAAATTTGAAATTCCAAGTATGTAGTTTTCGCCTTTGAAGAGTTTGAGTTGAGAATCAAAATAGCCAGGCGATCACAGGCATGTTCTTTTTAGAAATATTCAAAATATAACAAAACTAAACATCTCTAACTGTGTATTGTGTTTTCTTTACATTTCTGTGAAGTTTCAGGCCATTTCCTTCAATTTTGAGCGATTTATGCCTGTTGTTTTCCAGCATAACACGGTTCGATTCAAAAAAGTGGACCTCGTGCATAACTTAATTATTTAGTTAATGAAAAATCTACCGCCAAATTTAATAAATAGCTTATGAAATTTGGCGCATGTGATACATCTATCGTTCTGAAAAAATACTTGTGTAAAATAGCTTTAAGTGTAATATAATGCTGTGGATTTGATTATTCTTATGAAGGCTATTGAGGTAAAAGCTATTGTTGAAGAGTCCCAGGGTTTCGGAGAGCAAAATCCGAGATATTTTTTTAAAGCGTTTTGCTTTTTTAATGACTGATAAACCTATATATTCTTTAAAAAAATATTTGTGCTTTTTTCAGCCTCTTCTAACATATCAATAGATCTAATCTAAGCAAATGTCACCCGGTTTGATATGAATTTGGAAGTTTTAAAAACACGCTGCAAATGTTGTCCCTGGGCATCCAGTGTTTTGGCTTTTCCAATATGCTTTATGCCGGACGAATTGATAACAATAAGGGAGAACAAGGAAAAGATCACCAATACTAATAAAGCGATGAATTTTTAACTTGCATTTCCTAAAAAAACATTTGCCTAACCTGTGTTTGTTTGTTTTTCTTCGATATTGTCTCAGAAGTGCCTGAAAAATCAATTAAGGAAGGAACATAATCAAAGCCAAGTAAAAATCAGAGACATCAGAGACACATTGTGCGAACTTGAACCGACTGCCGGCCAATAACAAACTTCCAAAAGGTCCGAGCAGCCCATGAAATAACAGATTTCTTTTTTATTATGTAAGAGTTAGTTACCGAGAACGGAGGCATTACGCTATATACAGCCCGAGGGCCGCAGGCCCGAGGGCTGTATATAGCGTAATGCCGACGTGCGAGGTAACTAACAAACTTAGTTTTCAATTCACGTGGTTTTCGCAAAAACTGAATAGACTTAATGAATGTTTTCTTAGTTGGGTTTCGAACAATAGAATCCTCTTCTCTTGAGACTTTTTCATGGACTGTTGAAATTAGTTTCCTTTAAGAAAACCTGTTCATGCGAAAGCGAGCAATCGAAATTTGAATATTGTTATCAAATATTCTTAGCAGTCATTCTGGAAACGATGTCGAACAGTGACGATTTGTTTATAGCTCAAAATACGTTTGACATCATTCCTTTGACGAACTTTGATATTGACGATTTGCTATCGGATTTGGAACTCCGCATGCTTCTTCCCGCAAATAACGATGACAAAGTCTGCAGATGGGAAAAAATGAGAAAAATTACAATAGTTTTTGATGTTGAACTCGCTCGAAAAAATACGAGGGAAGGATTCAAGAAGGAACAAACTAAAGTACCAAATGGCCGTGTGTACGTGCTTGGATAGAATGGACCAAGTCACACCGATTACTTCTGATTCATACACGTTGGTTAATTCCGAAGAATAGATTCTTTTAAAAGTAACGGCGAAGATCTTGGTTATTGTTGTCTCTATTCTCTGATGAACATATGAAGAAAAGCTGCGGGACTCGAACTTATTACACTCTAAATCTCCTCAAGTTTTGCTGGCCGCACTGGTCTTTTTTAGGGGAAAAATAGTTTAGTTTACTTAGTTTATTTGATGTTCAGCAGGGAAATGTGGGGTTGATGAATTGAATTGAATAACTCGTTATAAATTCAGCGGGCTATATGAGTGATTCCGGTCACTCATA